TGTAATTTTCACAGAGGTATGTAAGCTGTTTCTGCTGACTGTGTGACGTTAATGTGAGCACCGTAGTACAAGCACAGGACGCACTGTAAATACATCAAGCCATCTCATCATGCTAACATAAACTGCTGGATAAAAGTCTCTCTGCAGAACAAGAAAATAACCCCAACTCTCCTAAACAGACCAGACTCAATTTTCATTCAGAAACAGATCTGTAAGTGTTGCATTTTATTCATAAAGATTTTATTTATTTGTTTCTGGACAGTTTCTACTGCCTTTTCATACAGAATCAGGGCTGTATTTTGTTCAAATACAAAGAATGTTTTTTAAATGACATTTACTGTGATTGGCTGTTTCTTTCTGAATAAATTACTCAATGGACTGCAGGGTTTCACTTTTATGTTCCAGTTGGTACAGATGTGTATGTGTTTATAGAGTCATGTAGTAGTAGTTTATTGAGTAATGAGATTCATTTTTCCAAGAAGAGTAGAACAGCAGGGAGCTGGTACAGATGTTGGTTTGGCCTCATGCATAGGCTGCAGAGATTGGACATTGGTCATTTTAAGGCTGGCCAGCTTGGCACTCCACAGTACCCTCATCAATCGCTCCTGTGAGGACACTTTATAGTCTCTCCAGTCTGGTGCCCAGATAGAGTGGGTGGTGGATTTGATGGTCTGTTCAGCGCTACATGACAATGTCTATGACTGAAGTTGGTTAAAAGGTGGTGCAAAATATTATTTTGTAATAAGAAGGAGCGACAAACATTCATTCAAATTGATTTATTAAACCCTTAGAACCTGAAGCCTGCAATTTGTAGGCAAAATGTATTTGAGTTCTTGCCTTCATAACTTCAGAATGATTTAAGCTACAGACATGGCATCATGGTATCACATAACAGACCATTCAACAGACCTGGCCCTAACTAGCTACCATGACTAGCATTGAGATGTGATGTCAGCATCAGTGAGTAATTCAGCTTGAAAAATCACCCAAAATCCTAATATTATTGCTAGGTTTTTTGGCCTTCATATTCCAACAAAGGGTTAAAACAGCGACATGATTCACAGATCAGATCACACATCAGACTCTGCTCTCAGCATCCAGAGTGATTTCATCCACCTGTGACCATCCATCAGACAGAGATCCAGCTCCAAATTCACCCACAACCCACTCGCTACTGCTACTACTGCTTTTAGCCTTCATATTATAAACAATGATTCACACATCAGATCACTTAGAGGACCATCACTAGCCAGAGTAAGAGGCACCAGCTCTAACATCCCACAACCCAGAAATACAGCACAGTTCAGCAGGACTTACCCTGTGTGCCCAGAGTGACTTTATATAGGTTCAGCAAAGAAATCCAGCCAGTAATCCAGAAAACATTCAGATCAGAAAACATTCAGATCCTGCTTATACGTCCATTTAAATGCCCCATTTAAATGGCTGACTGCATGTGTATGAATCTAGAACTTTCCCTCATGTCTCAAATAGTCCTCTGATTGACTCAGACTCTGCGTTTAGTGCTGATAATCAGAAATTTACAGCTAAAAGTACATAATGACACAAATGCAGTCATATTTATAAAACTGAGGCTACACGCTAACCACGCGGTCTGTGCAAGCTGACTGTGTTGAAAGAGGTGGCAGGGCAGAAGAACACGATAAAAGGTACTGTTCCAAACCACTACACTGAGTGGACTTAAAACTGGCCCTAAAACACATTTTAACACATGAATAACACATATAATTATAAAGTTATATTTAGCTCTGTTTCAGTTTACATGGATAGAGTGATTACACTGAGTAAAGGCATCTGATATTAAATATGCAACTCAATTTGTAATTAAAAATAAAGCCAGTCTTGCTGTGTATCAGAGTTTTAGCACTTAGCTCCTATCATCAGGAGATCGCGAGTTCTATCCCTGGTGATGCTACAGAGAGCACAATTGGCCTCGCTCTCTCTGGGTGGGTAGGATGGCCCCTCCTTCTCCCCCCATCACTCAACGCGATGCTAGTCAGCGCAGGCGTCTGTTTGCTGACGTAACAGATCTGGCGGTTGGCGCTTTCCTCCGAGCGCATTCAGCTGTCCAGTGGCGCTGCGTGAGTGGCAGTTCGAAAAGAAGCGGTAGCTGGTTTCACAGGTCTCGGAGGAAGCTTGTGTTAGCCTTCACCCTCCTAGCGTTGGTAGTATTGTGTGATTCGGGGAGTCCTAACTAAAGGGTGGAATTGGAGACGACTAAATTTGGGGAGAAAATCGGGTAAAAATCCAAAAGAAAATCAATAAAAAACATGACCAACATCACCATGAAAATTCTTGCATTTACAGCTTACAGGCACTTTCTGAAAAGGTATCTGAGGTACCATTTGTTTTCAAGGCGCTTGGTAAATTTTTGATTAAAAAATGAGTCAAATTCATTAAGATATCAAAATTCTGTTAGCATTCACCTGTCAAATAATGACATATCTGAGCAGCCCACGGTCTCCTAAAAATAACAACATATGACATGTGTGAATGTCTCATGTAAATACTTCAGAATTTCAATTGTAATTGTAATTGACCCAAATACAAAACAATCACCCCAAATTACCCTAGGGTTCTGAAGGTTAATAAAAAGTTGTTTTTTTTTTTTTCAAGGAGGCTGTTTCTGAACAGTTTATACTGGCTTATCAAATAGCATCAGCTGACCATAACTAATCAGCATTATTGGCTGTATCTTGCTCTAAAGTAGGTAATGTCTTTAAATGATATTTCTTTTTTAAATGAATTACTTTAATGTGTGTTTAGAGAGTAATGTGGAAACATTAAGTAATATGTTTCCAGGAAGAGCAGAATGACAATGAGCTGGTGCAGAGGCTGGTTTGGCCTGGTGATGAGGCTGTAGAGGTTGCACATGACGTTGGTCATTCAAAGCCCAGCCAGAAAGGCTTTCTGAGTGGGGTAGCTAGGCACAGTAACCTCCGGGAGGAGACTTTGTCCACATGCCGATGGGAGTGAGCCAGTGACCAAAATTCTGTGGGGGCTACATTAGCACCCCAAAAAACCGGCTGTAGACAGGACATCAATTTCCTCATGAACTGAACTGATGAACTGTGATAGCACACAAGAGCCTAACCAGTTCCAACAACCTTTTCAAAGGGTGGTGTAAAGTTATTTTATAATAAAAAGAAGTTTACAGAATGACATGCAATAATTTATTTGAAAAAATGTTGACAATAACACATTTATAAAAAGGAAAAATAAAAAGGAAAAGGAAAGAGAAATTGACACTCTAAAATGAACAATTCCACCTTTGGTCTGAGAAGTCCTCTCTCTTAACATTCCTTTATGACTGTTGGACTTCATTGAGCTTAATGTGCATCACAGGTGTCCTCTTCCCCAAACGCCCTATTTAAATTTCAGAAAGGCCATCTTTATACTCTGTTTATCTTTATATTCTGTGTATAATGATCAGCACTTAGAAGCGAGGAGTATAGAATTATTTCTCAGACCACAGTAACAGATTTCATATACTACACACTAAAATCACACACAGTCATTATGCCTTTGTGGATCCAATCTCAAGATAAGAGCTTAATAATCACATGATTATTACAGGCTTGTACATGGAATGATAATATATATATATATATATATATATATATATATATATATATATTAGGGGTGGGAATTTTTAGGCGCCTCACGATTCAGAGGGCTGCGATGCGATTATAAAACGATTATTGATGCATCTTTTTTTTCTATACAGAATTTCTATTTTCCTACTGTCTGAATACTTGGCAGTTTTAAAGCAAAGTATTTGTAATGATCCATAATGAATTTACTTCCAGTATCTTTTATTAATAAAATAAATGGTAGTGATGTGGCAAGTAAACTAGAAGGTTCTCATTCACTGCTCTGGTTTGGAGCACATGAGGCGCTGTTGCCACTCATCTGTGATAAAATGTGCTGTTATGGTGAATCCAGTGGTAATGGATGACAAGACTGAGAACTGGTGTGCAGACTGCAGGTCACATAGCAATGAAGTCTTGCCGAGTGAATAGCAAATGAAAAAGGAAAAGAGCAAGACAGACAAACATTTGGAGATGAACTAAAAAGTTGCGAAGATGAAATCAGCTTCTTGCTAATTTTCCCGGTCCACCTTTAATAGTGTCGCATTTACATTCTGCACCTCAGGCAGAATTTAAGGTGGAACGGGAAAACAGGAAGCTAGAGAATAAGAAGCAACTTCAGCCTCGTAAAACAGCCAAACGCTGAGAGACATTTTACAAGAAGCTGTTCTACTTTTGAGGAAAGGTTTTCTGGCGGAGATACGAGAAAAGCGGCTATAGATAAAGCTTAAAGCAGAGCAAAGTAAATCTGCGCTCTCGTTTATATTGTTTAGTCTATACTAGGACATTATCACATACTGACACATACTGGACATTAAATGTTGTGGCTCCCAAGGTGGTTTGATTTTTGTTGAAAGTACAAAATGATCCTGATCTAACCTGGCTTTTAATGCAGAGGCCACCAGTTGGATTTCTCACTCATCCAGAAGTGTTTTTGTAATGTGCCATCACAGACTGTCCAGGCGCTGCACTTACCCACTTAAAGGTTCCACCTTTTGCGTTCTGTCAACATTACGTTATAAATTAAATATTTAGAAAATTGATTTTTGACGTTTGTGAATCAATTCAGAATCATTCATGTCCGCGTCACGATGCATGTAAGAATCTATTTTTTCCCCCACCGCTAATATATACATATATATATATATATATATATATATATATATATATATATATATATACACATATATATATATATATATATATATACATATATATATTATGTTGATAGATAGATAGATAGATAGATAGATAGATAGATATTATTTTTCTGTAAAAAAATTAGTCTTTTTCACAACATGTACAAAATAATGTTTTCAAGAAGATAAAAATATCAAAGTAAGATAATAATCATTTTGATGGAATAACTACATGAGATGTGTCAGTGAATGTTTCTAGCTGACTAAGTCTGTTATCACTCACAGTACAGTGTTAAAAATTTAATATTTGTATATATAAACTTTATCTTGTTTGAGAGCAAATCTGTAATGAAGTGTTTCTGCTCCATTCTGAACTGTGATCCAAAACAAAGTTACTTGTTGCGTTTGAAGAGGTTTGAATGTACTTTCCTGAGATAAGACACTGGCTGTGGTATCTCAGTTTCATGATTCATCTCTGTCTGAGCCCCCCCCCCACGTCATCATAATCTGTAAAATGAATGATATTTAACCATTTTAAATGCAAATATACAGTTTGCAAATATACAGTTTATACTGAAGTTTGTAACTTATGATCAAGTTGTTCAGTTCTGCCAGTGAAAACCAAGTGAGTCCATCACTGTGATTCCATTCAGTAGATCTATAAATCTCTACACATACTGTGTCTATTCTCAAATACAATTAACTGTTTAAGTTTCTAGCATCTGCATTGTCCCATCATTCTTAGAACACGTTTGGAGGGTTCACACTATACATGTTTTGTGTAGAGCACTCCAGGCGCCCTTTAAAGCCGTTCACCTTTTATCCCTCCTACATCCTGTTCAGCTGTGATGACGTCATCATAGTCCTCTGGTGTGTGCACTACACAAACAAGGATAGATAAATGATATTAAAATCCAACAAATCTTGTTATTACTGTTTTTACTGTGCTGAAGCTTCAGCTCAATGAGAATTATCTACATTAATTAAAACCTACCTGTCATAATGTTGGAGTTTGGTCCAACAGCAACAGCATCATCATAGTTATCTGTCATGTCTTCTGTCAAAATGTAGAGATAAATGTCATTAAATCAGCATCAGTATCATCAGTGACTGTGTTTATGTTTGAGATCACAGTATTGTTATATTACAAGTCAAACCTGTTACAACAGCTAAGCTGTGATCAGCAGTGATGACATCATCATAATTCTCTGCTACTTCCTCTACACCAAAATACAAAAATATTCATTTAATGTGACTGTTAATTAATGTGATTCAACAATTGGGTCAGTAAGAAATAAGGACTCATGAACAATTTATTGAGGTCTATAATAATGTCAAATGAGGTCTTAATATAATCTAGTTATATTACCTAGTTATAATACTTTGTAAGTAAACCATTCACCAAAACAATCATTATAATTAAGCCATCATGTAGCCATTAACTAAAGTCTCATGATAATATGTAGCATTTGTTTAAATGTTATGTAAGTTAACCGAAATACTTGATAAAGATGGCAAACTGTGACATAGATGTGTAATTCAGCGACTGTCTAAACTCCGGGAACGTTGCTGCTCTGCATGTTCAGGTGTTTCCCTGCTCCAACTATTCAGGGCCAAGTTTCCTAAAAGAATCTTAGAGCCGAGATCATGTTAACTGGTAGAGAGAGTGTACAATGTAATACTTGCTTTACTTTTTAACAGTCATCTAAGAGCTAAGAAAAGGCTTCTTGGTAGAGACTGAGATCTGTGGACAGTTGGCACATTTCTTTACTTCAAACATATTAGTTTCAATAATTAGTTTCTTTTTGAATGTATTACTTACGCATGTATGTGTGTATATATATATATATATATATATATATATATATATACACACACACACACACACACACACACACACACACATATATATATATATATATATGTCTGTGTGTGTGTGTGTGTGTGTGTGTGTGTATGTGTAATTTGTAAGTACTTTATAGGAGAAAAAAAAAAGGTTCTTGACTTTCAATGCAAATTAATGAAACAACATTGTTTTTGGAACATTTCAATTATTCCACCAGACTTTTAACATCATAAAGGATAGCTGTCATATTGAAAAAAAAAAAACAACATCAAAATGGGGATTTCTAAACCAAAACCCCAAAACACAAATAAACCTCCTACACTCTCAGAGATCTGTCCAGCAGTGATGACATCATCATAGCTCTCTGCTGTGTCCTCTTTTGCTGAGTCATGTAAATCAGATAAAGGCAGACTGACTTTACAAATAGTGCAGTCATATTTTTACACTGTGGTTTAATGTAAAGATAAAATCAGGCGATTAATTAATAATGAAACCTACTTTTCAGGCCACTGGTGGTGACATCTTCATAATATTCAGATTTTACTCCAGTCAGAGACTTTGCAGGAAAAAGAGCCAATTTTATAATTTTGAATTACATTATAAAAATAAAATACTTGTTTAAAGAAGCTGGCCACTCGAGTGCACTCAGTGGTCCTAAGGTATGTAACCTGGTGGGTCCATTTTTTATTTATTTTTTTTTGAATAGGGTTAAATGTTAGGAAAACTCAGCTCCCCGCCTGATCAGAACTGAGTGGACATTTCGGACTGCACAGTGATAAACACTGGTTACATGCCACAGCAATGAAAGTAGCCATATGGCTGCAGGCTTTTTTCATTTTTTCAGGTTATTTTCTGGCAGGGTTGGAATCTGTGTGAGATATCAAATTATAGAGACAAATACTCAACTGGTAATGATCACCAGGGTTCGTACACGTTTTAAACAGTGGAAATCCATGACTTTTCCATGACATAAAATTAAATTTGCATGCCAAACATCTTGCATAGGGCTGGGCGATCTAACGTCTATACCAGTATACCATGATACTGACATTTATATACAGATATCTGCACCAGGTTTAACACTCCGATCTCTAAGAATGGATCTGTCATTCTGCTCAATACATTAATGTTTCATCATTTCAGAGCCTACTATTTTGTTTTGACTCCTTCGACATCACATATTCTCACGTAAAAAGTACGTACATCGGTTCTGTTTGTTAAGAGTGGTTTAGTTTCTCTTTGTAACACAAACACATGCATGCACATCATGATTAGGTGGACATTGTTCTTCATTTCATTATGTCTAGCTCAAAATCAAATGAGTTAACAATAACAAAGACATTTATTTAGCCAGTGAAATGTTTTATCTAACTGAAGTTCAGTTTGGGAGGGATTAGTTTTACATGGTGTGGGGAGGTAATGTATTATACCAAAGTTTCTCAGTGATTTAAGTACTATCCAAATCCCTAATGGCAGTATTTTTGATGCTGAAGAGGAATGTAACAAGTCAGTTCACAACTTTGAGTACCTAGAGTACAACAAAGACTGTATGAACTCAAATCAGTGAGAGTACCACAGCAGTTAGTTCATCATTTCTTAATGTAGCTGCAGTGATGCTTGTTGTCTAACAGTGAAGACGCTAATTACTCACACAGGTCTTGGTGTGAGAAGCAGCAGTGATGTGTTTTCCTCTTACATTTGGCTTTTTAATTCATCTTCTGTAGTGTTCAAATGTCAAACCATCTTCCACAACACACGTGTCCCGAACACCTTAGCTAGCTGAGATTCACTGTTACGACCCCTAGTCGTAATAGCCTTTCTATGTGTGTGTCTGCCACCATTTTGTGTGTTCCCTTTTGTATGTTGCTCTATGTGCAGGTCTGTAATTGACCACCTGGGGGCAGCCTCCTGTATAAAAGGTTGCCAAGCCACCATCTTGGGAGACATTCAGGGCTCTCTCCCCTCTGATGTGACCTGGAAGAACACCTGTCCAGACCAACCTGGCATTTCTTCACTTCACTCCGTTCTGCTTCACTTCGCTTTGATTGTCTGGTTCTGCTAAACTCTGTGAACTTTGGAAAAAGTATGGATTGAGTGGCATTTTGTTTTGGTTACCTTTTCTCCTGGTTTTAAAGCAGGGATACAGGGTAGCCTTTTGTGTTTTTGTTTTATTTTGCTCTCAGGTTCAGTTTTTGTACTCATTTGTAGTTTTGTTCGTTATTTGGCATATGCTTGTCCCTGAAGCCATCATAGCATTCAGCTTAGCCTCTAGTCATAAAAATAAACATGAGCTATTTTTTGGTTAAATAGTGTCGGGTGTTTGGCATGGCAGCTGAGGAGAGAGCCCACTCTCATTTTCTTTTATGGCTTGACTCTAGACTGGGTCGTAACATCCATATTAACAACGTGTTAGTAAAGCTAGTCCATTTGCAGATACATTAGTTATGGGTCTTGGTGTTTTTTACAATTTAGACTCTTTAGTGCTTCAAATGTGATTAGATGAGGGACCACGTGAGGGAAACATTCAGGAAATTCCATGATTTTTCCAGCACTTATTATTTTCCATGACTTTTCCGGACCTGGAAAACCACATTTGTATATTCCATGCCTTTTATTGCAGGATTTTCATGACTTTACAAAGTCTGGCTTACAGAAACTGCAGTTTAAAGTGTTAGCAGGAGTTTAACCAATCATCCATTTTCCAAAGTAAAGTAAAATTTGTCTTTGTCAGCATAATGTTGTTTGTGCTAAGTTTAAAAAAAATACTTAACCAGCTAGGATTATATGAAATGTGACCTACATGTCATGGTGAATAAACTAGGTATTACACCAACCATAAGTTTCTCCTGTAGGTTTTTTTTTTTCTTCAAATCATTGTTATTTTATTACTAAAAGCTATGAGGTCCAGACCTCAGTGTTCTCATCAAGTCAAGTCAAGTCAAGTCAAGTGGCTTTTATTGTCATTCCATCTATGTACAAGTATACAGTGGAGTGAAATTACGTTCCTCCAGGAAGAAGGTGCAACAAGGAACAAAAAGTACAAAGTGTGAACGTGCAGACAGTGTGCAAACAAAAGAATTAAGCGAGAAACAATACAATAAATAAGATAAATTAAACAGACATTAAGCACAGTAAACAGACAGGACAGTGCAGCACCAACACAGCACTCATTTCTGAGCATGAGGTAGTGGAATAAGGTGCAGAGGTATTTAACATGCTGTGATCTGCAAGTTTACACAGTCAAATAACATACGTGAGCACAGCAGTTACTGAGGTAGTAAAACAGTGTAAACACAGCAGTAGCAGCAATGTTCCAGATAGTGCAAGTAGTGCGCATCAAAAGCAGGGTGTTGTGGGGGGGGGGTTAGTTCAGCCCTTGTGAATTTAAAAACCTGATTGCTTGAGGGACAAAGCTGTTGCAGAGTCTGGCAGTGATGGCATGGATGCTCCGGTACCTTCTGCCAGACGGCAGCAGTGAAAAAAGTCCATGTGAGGGATGAGTTTGGTCGTCCACAATGCCGGTGGCTTTCCGGATACAATGTGTGGTGTAGATGTCCATGATGGATGGGAGAGAGACCCCGATGATCCTCTCAGCTGTCCTCACTATGCGCTGTAGGGTCTTGCGGTCAGAGGTGGTGCAATTCCCAAACCAGGCAGTGATGCAGCTGCTCAGGATGCTCTCCATGGTTCCCTTGTAGAACATGGTGAGGATGGGAGGGGGGAGATGAGCTTTCCTCGGTTTCTACAGGAAGTAGAGGCACTGCTGGGCTCTCTTGGCTATGGAGTTCGTGTTGAGGGACCAGGTGAGGTTCTCTGTGATGTGGACACCGAGGAACTTGGTACTCTGGACGATTACCACAGCAGAGCCAGTGACGTTAAGTGGCCGGTGGTCACCTTGCACTCTTCGGAAGTCAACAACCATCTCCTTAGTTTTGTCTACATTCAGAGACAGGTTGTTGGTTCCGCACCTGTCTGTTAGCCGCTGCTAGTTATGGCCATGAGTAGTACCAAGCTCAAAACTGGACTGTCCAAAATTAGACATTTAGTAACCCTATCAAGTAAAATTATCTTTCCACAAATATAGAAGTGCAAAAGTATGATGTTAAAAATACTACTTAAGCACTGTTATTTAAGTACTCAGTACTCAACTACTACTATTACTATTTATAAATACTACTATAACTGCAGTGGAGCTTCTTAGTACATCAAGC